AGTAATCATTTTATTTCTACATGTCGTCTGTATGTCTGAGGCAATAATACTTTTACTCTGTCCTAAAACATAATTAGGAAGGTTAATTTACTTCTAGAAGACAAAAACTATACATGTTTCAAAATAAGATTATTTCTACATTTTCTTTTCTATTGAATTATTTATAGCACTACTTACTGGTCCTCCTTCCATTAACTCAGATAATCAGAAGTTAACCCAATTGTAAAGTTCCTTGAACTAAAAAACCAAGGTTTACTTACAGTATCACAAAAGAAGACACAAGAGAGGAAACCACTAGAGGGTTTTTTTCACATAACTTTGTGATACAAAAGAAAGTACTACAGGATACTTTAGTTTGGCTCTTGAATGTCCACTTGAGGTTCATGAGGTAAAGGTTTGGTCCCCAGGGTGGCAGAACTGGAAAATACTGGAACCTTTGTGAGAGAGGGTCTAGTGAGAGCTCTCTGCAGTCACTGGGGCATGCCCTTCAAGGAGACTGGGGAAAGCTGGCCCCTTCTCAGCCTCTTCTTCTTTCTGACAATGAAGTGGCTCCACCATGTACTCCCACCATGATGTTCTGGCTCATCCCAAGCCCAAAGCAGTAGGGCCAACCCATCACAGATGGCAATCTTCAAAACTGTCTGTCAAAAGAATCTTTTCTTCTTTGTAAATTAATCATCTAAGGTATTCTGTTATACTGACAGAAACTTGACTAACATGTAAACATGTGGAAACTTTGCGACATAACAGGCTCTTGTTTTAAAAAAAATTAAAAGGTCAATTTTTTTTCAGGAAATATGAAGTGCTTTCTGCAACAATAACATCTGACGTACTATGTTCTATAACATAATATTAGACACATCTGTTGCATCAAACACACTGAGGAAGTCTGAAATCACTACTCAATAATTTGGAAACCATTTCTGTACAAACTAATGACATCTCTGTTAAAGAAAAAAAAAACCTTCATGTGTATGTGTAAATAGCAGTATTTGCTAGTCAAGGCTACAAAGCAGACTGAAACAGAGATACTTTAGTGAGATCTCAAATTCCATTAGTACTGCCATCAGTTTTGTTATTTTCCAAAAACAGCAAGTAACCCTTGATAAAGTTCTCAAAGAAGTGAAATCCTCCCTAAATGCACACACATGGTAAGCTGTTACCTTAATATTAGATCTTGATTAATAGATTCCATGTCTCCATGCTCCCTTGCCATCTATCTTGGTAGTCCTTTTTCCACTTGGAATCTGGCATGATTTTCTTTGCAACAGGATATTTACAATGGTAGTGCATGTAAGACAGCATTATATTATATATGGTGACTATATACAATGTTTTCTATATATAAATGTCTGGAAGGACATTAACATGTGGCACGCAAGTTAATTCTGCTCAACACATTACAAGTCACGCTTTCTTGCTCTCCAGTAATACCTTCCAACAACGACATCCACCAAATATGTCCCAGCACACAATGTCCTATAATAAGGGAAAAAATCCAAGACTGCTGCCAAAGTCAAGATTCTTTCTGATCTTTTAGATTAGAAACATACATTTTCAAGCATTCATCCATTCATATGAAAGATGTATGAAGCTGTCGTTTTAATCTTACATATATGTGGTTGAGTATGATCCTCTCCAAACTAATGAAAGATAACAGCAGAAATATGACAACGTATTTTGAAATGTAGAATATGCAGTCTTTATAAATAGTACAAAATTTTAAGCCTATTAACCACTCACAATATGTAGACCTTACTTGGATCCTGATCAAACAAAATGTTGAGGAGGGAAAAAAAAAAAAAAAAGGGAAAGTTATGAGCCAGATTCAAGAATGCATGCCTGTAAACTCAGCTACTCAGACACTAAGGCAGGAAGATCACAAGTTCTACACCAGCCTGGGCTACTCAGCAAGATCATATCTCAAAATGAAAAATGAAAAAGGCTAGGAATATAATTCAATGGTAGTAGTTTTCCACAAAAGTAATAGAAAGCAATGAAATTTATGGAATAAATTCTACTCTATACATATTATATGTAAGATTTAAATGTTTAAGTAAGATAAACTAATAATAAAAACACTTGTACTTCACAATCCTCACCCACTACATAGCTCCTAAGTGTTTCAAAGCACAGTAACTGATAATACTGTTAATAATCTGGTTTTTAAGAAATTCCTGTACACTATAAGAAGGTATGAGCGTGTTTTAACTTCCTATCACAAATTTCCCTTTTTCTATGCAGACTATTTGCTCCATCTCTGGGTTTTTCTCTGCCAACTTAAATCCAAGTCACCCTCAAAAACAAGCAAAAATTTTTTTGCCTCTTCTGTGAAGCTTCCTCGTTTTTTTCTTTTCTGTCAACAGTTTGAGCCCTCTTCCATATTCTGCAATTTATTCCCTCAAGTCACAATTATTTGTTATATACATGTCTCTCCAACTGTGACACATTGGCACAATGACTGTCATAAAATGTTCTAAGTGGCCCACAGACTTAAATCCTTACAGGATTTAAGACTCACAGGTTCGTTTCAGTCATCCAGTCACTTCCGTGCTGCTGTGTTGCAATGTCTCGGTATCAACCCCAGGGCCTTACACATGCTGAGAAAGCACTCAGCCACTGAGTTACATCCTCAGCCCTCATTCCAATCACAACTAATTTAACTTTTGCATCTACTTTTTTTTTTCGGGGGGGGGGGGGAGTACTGGAGATTGAACTCACGACTCACACTTGCCAGGCAGGCACTTATACTGCTGAGCTAAATCCCCAGCCCTTGCATCTACTTTTTGATATAGTGAGTTTTCCAATAAGAAATATTTGTTTTTGTATATTCCAAATTTGCCTTGATGTTCTAGCTGCAACTGTTTCTTCAGAAATTCTACTATATGACACAACGATGAACTGTGACATTATACTAAGTGAAGTCAGTCAGTCACAAAAACATAAGTATCATATGAGTCCATTTATATCAAGTATATAAAACAAACAGGAAGAAAGTACAACATAAATCAGAGACTGAGGAGGAAATAGGGAATTGCTACAGAGTGGAAATAAAGTTTCAATTAAGCAAAACAGGTAGGTTAGCTATCTCTTGAACATTGTGCCTATCTATAGTTAATAACAATGTATTGTACACTGAAAAATTTATTAAGAGAGTAGCTCTCTTAAGAGTTCTTAGCACAATAAAAAACATACGTTCCTTCACTCTTCGTATTTTGGGAACAGTCCCACTAACCTTATCTAAGGGCAGGTTAGCAATCTTTACTTACTTCTCTAATGGACCACTGGCTTCCAGGTCTGTAACTCTTGGCTACTCTCATTATTTTCATCTTTTAATCTTTTATTCTAAAAACAGATTAATATTCATCTGACACCATACTGATTCTCAAAACCTTGCCAACATTTTTAGAAAGTAATTTCAAGTCTGAGCTGCTAGACTAATCCAATATATTCTACAAATAGTTCAAACTGTATTTTAACCAGTAAACATTATTATTCTAAGCTTAGTATCATTAAAAATCTTGTATTCTTTCATTTAGATTTTTATTTTACTACACTGTACCCAGATCAATCTGGAATTTGATTACTCAAAATAAGTTGTTATCAGCAAAATTTGGAGACTTCCAAGGGTACTCTCTTCTCTAAAACATTTATTTTAAATATTTCTGAGTCAGAGTCACAATACTTGTGAGTCACTGTTTTAGAACCAAAATCACATGTGTTTCACAGTAGGCCAATAACTTTAAATAAACTATCGAAGTACTAGGAAAAAAGACTGAATATAAAATAGTTGTATACATTTTCTAAGGGCCAAAGAAGACTGTAACAAAGAAGACTGAGAGACATGTATATAACAAATAATTGTGACTTGCTGTAACAAACATAATTTAACACTTAAACTTCTTGTATGTCTACTAAGGGTATCACACATATGCAACAAGAATTCAAGAACTAAAGTACTACTACTTTTCTAAAAAAATATATAAGACTTTCCTATGAACTAACAATGGCTATTATTAATCAACTGGGCTGACTGGCTACTGAGATTATAAAACCTGGCATTTCTTTGTTCATTTTTAATTGATTCTGTGCATGCGCGTGTGTGTGTTTGTGTGTGTGTAATGTTTTACTAGGAAATGAACCCAGGGCCTCTACACAGAACTAAATCCCTGGCACTTTTGTTTTGAGACAGGGTTGTCCAGGCTGAGCTTGAAATGGAGATCCTCCTGCCTCAGCTTCCCAGAGTGCTGGGAATCACAGGCATATACCATTGAGCCCAGCTTGCTTTCAACAGGTAGCAAAGTAGCAGTATCAGCAACTCCTCTTCTGTCTTAAGATTCAGCTCCCATAGAATTTGAGCTCTTTTATAAAACTAATGCTGGTTCATTGCTTTTACATTAGCCAAATATAAAATTAAAACAAATAAACAAAAGGATCACAGGAAGTCCATAATGATAAGAGGAAAAAGTTCCCATCTAAGTCCCTATTTTATCTATTTTCTTCATTTTATCTATTAGTAGCTCAAAGTTGTTCCTTGAACTACTAATCTCCTCCCTCCTGAGCACCTGCTCAATATTAAACATCACCTGTATACCCAAAGTTAAAAAACTTAGTAAAAAGTAAGGAGAGGACTAAACTATAAGCTGATCATCACACAGCAGCCTAGAAAAGTTTAACAGAGCATCTATCACAGGGCTAACTTTTTTTTGACTTTTAAAACAAAGACTACCAGTGACTTCAATACTAGATGCTCTCTAAAAATGCCTGTAACAATTCAACACCCATGAATTTTAAATATATGTGTTCCATCTCAGGTTTCAGGTATTTATGTGGTAGACATTAATTCCAAATACATTACTAAATGAGTATAGGCCAAAACATCAAAAGATGAAATACAAACACAAATTTTAGAGAAAATGAAATTCACCACTTTAAACAATGTATTAAACTTTATTAAAATGACTGCCACTAAAATAATTGAAAAATGTGAAAACACTTACTTCATTCCCATGTTTTTGCAGGAATTCAATTTCCTGTTGCGTGAATGTTGTCATGGATATAGACTTCACTCTGTGTGGAGGATTTAACCCTCGTCTAAAAAAAAAAAATAGATTTCACAAAATTTACTACTGTGTATCTTAAAATGACACATGCAGTCATTCAAAACATTTTTAATTAGCACATTTAAACTGGAATCACGTTTTCAATCACTAAATTGAAAGTATTTAAAAATTATTTTAAAGTCTTAATCATCAGAAAATGCCAAAATAAGTCCAATTAAATTCTTACTCAACAATATATTTGAAGATGACTTCAACTAATTACCTAGTTAGGAAAACAGAACCTATAGCATATGAACCTCTAGAAAACCCGAATACTACTTCAGAATATTTCTGCTGTAAGAACTGACCATAGCACTATGGAAAAGAATTTTAAAACTAAATATTTTCATGTTTTCCAAGAGACAAAGACTGTTAAGACTGGAAGATCTACCACTTTTACATAAATTTGGGGCTAACTTAGAAAACCACATGAAAGCTAACAAAATTTGAAGTAATTAACCACTATGAATAAGGTGCTATTCTCTCCAGCAATTTAAGATTCATAATAATGTCTTTAATCAAGAGGCAATTAAATGCATAGGAAAAAACTGTTAAAACACAGAAAAGGGATTTAGAAAGAGCTAGTTACACAATGTAATGACATTGAATGGGGTTTTTTTGTTTTTTTTGTTTTGTTTTGTTTTGATCAGTACCAGGGATTGAACTCACGACCGCATATTTGCAAGGAAGGCGCTTATGCCCCTGAGCTAAATCCCCAGTCCCTTTTGAAGGGTCTTTTACAACACTGAAGTTTTTACTTATGGATGGTCTTATGAGGATTTTATCCTGATGATCTTTGATCATGTATACAGAGAAAAACTTGTGCAACTAATACAAAGTGACCTACTCACAAAAACATAGGTTAAAACAATCCATGAAAACTTCAATGGAATTACTTTGAGGTCATGTCTTCTTATGAAGGCCTCACTTGGAATCTAGTTTCTAAAGAAAACTAACATTTTTACAGAGCCTGTCATGGTCAAGTCACAATTGTCCATGCTAATTAAATATGAGATTTAGCAATGATATAAAAATAGCTGAACCAAATGTCTTTCAAAAATCTTTAGAAACTTTTTAATTAAACATAGTGTATAATCTATCTCTAAGTTAACACAAGTGAAATTTAGAAGCTCCTCCTTCCTATCCTGCTTCTTTCTTCCCCTTCCACTTAACAGTAATGATAACAGTGTAACTTTCAGGTCACAATAAAAAGTAAAACGAGTTACGCTGTATCAGTATCACATTTTAAGGTGGAGAAAAATCAACTTGGTTATTACTTTGTTTTGTTCTGTTACATCTTAATGAACTGTTTCCTTCCAAGTCTTGAAAGGTAATAAAACATAGAAATAAACACTCAATACAGGAGAAACTAAATAGAAACAATTCTTCTCTAAGTAAAACTTTCAAGCTTAACTGTGAAGAAACAATTTTAGTATAAATAAATTTCAGGTATCTTCACAATTAATTTGCAATCATAAATTAATACTAAATATCATATAAATTTCTAAAAGTGAAAAATCATTATTTGTTAAAGCATAATGCTACTTTCCATTTTGCCCATATTATAAGAATAAGCCTTAAAAAAAAAAAAAAAAGAACAAGCCTAAATTTTCCACTCGGGAAGAGTAGTGGGAAGTTTATTAATCTATGATATATACATTTACTTGTGATATATATATTTACATCTTCCCTTGTCCAAAATAATAGAAATATTCCAAAATAGTAAGAATTATTTTGTTGTTCTCTATGCCTCTTCTACCCGCACACTCTGTAACTTTCTCCTTTTTCTCGAATACTTTCTCATTGTTTTATCCACATCCTTATAATAGTTTTTTTTTTTTTAAACAGGAAAACCAAAGAAATAGCTCTTTATGAAGAACTAGCAAACACTAGATGTATATTACAAAGATGTATATTTTGGAGCAAAGAATTACACCTCTCAAACTGTTCAATAAAAAAATTCATAAAATGAACTCTTCTAAAATTACATTACAGAGATGTACTCTCATGAACCCAATACAATATATAGTGTATTTACTGACAAATTTCCAGGCCCTACCGTATCACAAGTCTACCTATGAACAAAGATAGTATTCATAGTATGTAAATAAACAAATCTGAACTTATGAAACAAATACAGCCAAACTATGAAAGAACTGTGTTCTTTCCACCTAATAAGAATACTTGTTACAGAATTTCTTTAAATGAATTGTCTTGGTATAAACTGTACTTAATTTGTAACAGTAACAGACACAGTTCTGCAAGACCACATTTTTATATAAATTGAATGATCTTAAGAAAATTTTATGCGCATTCTCATGTTGCTTTCTCTAACTGCTCTTTTATATTCCATTTATGCAAACAGATAAACTGTATTTCCAATTTAAGTATATATAGACTTCATATGTTATTATCCAAATACATGAATATTACACACATTTAAGAGTTTAGTGAAACTGAAGAATGATTCTGCTAATAAGTAGCATTCAGGTTAACAAACTTGCAGTGAAAATGAAGTCTCACACACTGATGGTGCAAATTCACCAATTTTAATCAATTACCTCACCATTCATGCCATTTGGCTCATTACCACTTTGAAGAAGCTATTTTAAATAAATATCTGAAATGTTGTTGAATAATTATGAGATATTCATCAAACACTTCATAATAAGAAAATTTAGGAAACACCAATATCAAAAGGGAAGTGGTTAAGTCAATGACAATAACACTAACACTATTCATAACATGCTTATGCTTGAATTTTTAAGTTTAAAAAATTACAAAGTATTTTCAGTACTACACTAAAAAATAAAAATATCTCTACAAAGAAAACAAACCAAAATTAACATTAAGTCCTTGGCCTACAGATGAGTTTGGATGATTTGTTTTTTCTACTTTCAATGATCGTTCCATCCAATGTTTTCCACAATATGTATTTCATATATATTAACTTATATGTACACATTCCAACTATAAGTTGAAAATATGGCAAGAAATAATGAAAATACAATTGACCTGTTAGTATTAGTTGTCAAAAAATTTGGACTGTGAGTCCTGAATTTTTCAATGTAGACACAACTGTAGCTTAAAAAAAATAGTGAAGAAAATGTAAGAAAGAGAAAATAAATAATCTTTTTAAGGCTTTCTCGCAATTTTTCCACAACCTGAAAAAATTGCCTTGCAAACTCTTGATAGCCATCCACCAGCAACTTCATTTTTCTAAACCGAGTTTCTTAACCACAGCACCAGTGGCATTCAGACCCAATTAATTGTACTCTGTGTGAGGTGCTACCCTGAACACTAGAGGATCTCTGTTGAACCTCTGACTTCCACTGACTGTCAAGAGTGTGCCCCATTAACTAGTGACTACTTCCCAATGTCTCACCTTCTGAGCAGGGCAAAAATCCTCCCAATTAAGAACCACTACTCTGGGGCTGGGGATTTAGTTCAGTGGCATAAGCACCTGCCTTGCAATCAGGCAGTCGTGAGTTCGATCCCTGGTACTGATAAAAACGAAAAGGACCAAAAAAAAAAAAAAAAAAAAAAAAAGAACCACTACTCTAACTACAACACATGTCAATGCCAAGCAAAAATAAACTAACAGAACTTCTTGGATCTCACATTCTGTAATTTTTTATTGGCAACAAAAAAATTCTTCCATAACTTATGTCAACATAACAAAAAACAGTATCTTTTTTAAATGATAAAGAAATATACAAGTTTAAAATATGAATTATGGGGTTTATGACATAGCTCAGCAGCACAGCGCCTGCCTGGCAAGTGCAAAATCATGAGTTTGATCCGTGTTACCAAAAAAAAAAAAAAAACCATAAAATAAAATATGAATTATGCGTATACATATTACTACAAGATATAAAACAACTAGTTGGCAAAATATTAAATTCATGAGAGAAGAAAATTTATGCTTAAAAAGTAGATTGGCACTTTGGATACTTGATATCTTTCTGCTTCTAACATTATAAAGAGACTTTGATATTATGAAAAGGATTTACTGCTAAAATGAGAAAGTCTCCATACATTACCAAAAAAATTATTAACTTATTGTTGGAATTTTTAGAAAGAGAAATCTCTAAAGACCAGAATGGAAACTTACATGAAAATTAACAATTAAATCAGTTAAAATGAAAATTAGACACACCTAAAGAGAGAATTTACAAATGAAAAGACAAAAAAAAGCAAGAAAGTAATACAGGTATGTAAAGAAGCACACACACACACACACACACACACAAAAAGATAAAACAACTAATTTAATAACACATGAAATAAATTCCCTTTCTGAATAAGAGAACTGAAAGAATAAAGGAGTGGTAACATTTCAAAAGATAATGGCTGAGATTTTTCAGATCTAACAAAAAGCAAACCAGGATAAATAAATTCCATTTAAAATCATTTTGGCAAAATCTCAAACACAAAGAGATCTGAAAAGCAATCAGAAAAACACAGAAGAAACTAAATTTGACAGATTACAGACTTCTCATCAGGAACAATACCATATTCAAGTGCTAAGAGGCAATAACCATTTTGCTGGAAAAGCTACTTTGAAGTATAACAGCAAGAGTGTCATTTTCATATCCTTTAAACACTCACTAAATAAGTGATTATAATGTCCAATTTGTACAGAGAAAAAAGGGACAAATGTGACATTTCAACACTCAACAGAAAGCACTTTATTGTTAGTACTCTGTATCATTACAAAATTAAAATAATCGTAGAATGTCAGTGTAAACAATACAATTTGAACGGTGACAGTAACAGAATGTAATTCACAGCTTCCAAGCCAATAAAAAAGAAAACTCAAAACAAAACAAAACTTGTCAATTTTTTTAAAAAAGTTAAACATACTTGCCATTAACCTAGTAATTTTACCCCAAAGTAGAGTGCTTTATTTATGCAAAATTAAAATTTTTATTTACTCAATATCTATAACCATAAATTATCCCTAAATGAGAAATATATAAACAATGGAAT